GTTAAAAGCAGGCTGAAAAATAATTTCTCCACTAAAGTATAAATAACCAAAATTACTACTTAAGTAAAGTAACAAAGTATTTGTACTTAGTTACTTGACAACTCTGTGAAGACTCCATGATCAGGTGACTTTCTACATTTGACCCCAGTTGAGATGTAATGAGTTTTCTTCAACAGCGTCTCTCTTTGCTGCTTACTCTGGTGAAGAATATGTGCAACAGTTGTTGCTGCTCAGTCTCTCACTTCACCTTGGAACTCTTTCATTGTGCTCGCAGGTGTCTCATCGCTCTCACACGGTCGCTCAGTTTGTGAGAACACCCTGCTCCTGGTGGATTTACACACAACCCACATTCCTTCATGACCGATTTAACAGCTCCTAAGTTTGGGTTTTGGCAGAGGTGTAAACTATGTAGTGGAGACTGGGTATGGTTGTAACACTTTGTTTCACCATATATAACTCCTTGATTTTTGGAGATAAGAGTTCTCACACTGTTTTACAAAATACTCACGTATGTTTACTACAAATGCTACTGATTGAAAATCCTGTAAGTACATCGTAAACTTTGGGACCTAATGTCAAAGACACAGAGGCTCTTTGTTACAACTTACCCCAGTAGTGGGGTAGGTTATGTTAGGGTTAAGGGTTAGCACAATCGTGCAAAAATAACCCAGATTCATTTTAAAAATAAGATCTATCTGAAAAAATGGAAGAAGTAGAAAGTTATTACTTCTATTTCATATTGGCTTGTAAAAACCATAATTCAGATATGTCGTACCGCTGAATGGCTTTGGTTGGATGAGAAGTATAAATACAGTATCTAACATTCTGACACCCTATTAGTTTGTACGATCCATCACAGCTTCATCTTTAAATAACAAGTCTTCTGTTGTTGACATCTTTTAATTAACTTGTAAATAAAACATTTCTGCACCGCTAGAAAATGTAACCCCCTCTCAGATCAGAGTGGACCGGTCTGGAAGCCGGAGGGGGGCGGGGCTTGAAGTGCCTTAAAAAGGCACAGTATCAAAACCAGCTGCTTTGAGACACACATCAGAAAAATGGTTGACAGAGGGGCTGATTAAGTTAGAATAAGGAGGAATTCAGACCAAAGTTTTGTAGTTCCATTTTATAGATCACAACTGAATGATTTAAATGTGAAAAGGAAAAATTTGAAAGCTTATGTCTACTTTAAATACAAAAATATAAGATTCTTTAAGASTTTTACTCAAGTACTATTCTTAGAGACTAATTTATACAAAAGTATGGTAAGATGCTTGTACATTTACTAAGGTATCACTTAGAGATACTTCATACAGCACTGCATTTTGAAAATCCTTTATTATCCATCCCAACTTGTACTTAATACTCAAGAAATTTGACTTCAAAAAAGTTTTTTAATAACTATGAATACAAAAGTAGCAAACATCCAGAGGGTGACTACTTTTTATAAGCACTGCAGCAACAATCACATCTGCTGCTGACGTGTATGTTTAGTCTTTGTTTCCTGACTCGGGGTGATGGTTTAAAAGGTTGGGGTGTGTTGGACCGGTCAGCCTCATTAACATTTGAGTCACATTGTGTCGTTAACATCTCTGCACAGCAGGTGGTCTCTGCGGGGCGATGGGACCTCAGGAAACCTCTGATGTGTCTGAATTTACCCGACAAGTTCTGCACAGACTACACAATTTACTTTTATTTTCCTTTAAAACATTCTTTAAAATTAAAACCCAATAAATATAAATCCAAACGTCAGTATTTGTGGATTTGTTTGGACGTGTTTTGGTTTATCGGTGACGTCACACCAGACAGACGTCTCCACCAATCACATCTCTTAGTTCGCTCGATGACGCGGGGATTTAAAGATGAAGACGCCGCCGACCGTAACAGAAACCACTCAGCTCTTCAAAGATTRGTTGACTTTTATTTACAATATTTGCTGCAACACTCGTCACCCGAGCRGAAAACACCGAACTGAGTGGATTGCAGCGGTTTTAGTGGGTGGAGATGCTTGGTTCTCAGGTGCAAGTTCTRCTGGTGGTTTTGTGTTTATCTGGGCTGATGGTGCAGGTCAGAGGAGCTCCACGAACAGAGCAGCTGACAGAAACACTGCAGCAGGACYTCATAAAGGACCAGGTGAGTTAACGAGCTTAAAGATGGAATTAGAAGACATTACGATGATCAGGAGCTGTAAAATTATTTTTGTACCATATGTGACCTTTAACTGATTTCTTAGCAGTTTGAAATATTTGACCCTTTCTGTTCTCCTTTAGGGTTCCACTCGTTTACTCTTCCTGAGGTTTGTGTCGGAGCTGACGGCACAGAGAGGAGAGATGCTCGGCGAGCCAGAGGAAGAGGAGTTAGGAGGAGGCAGGGAGGGGCTGAGGCGGCGACACCCTCGCTTCACCCACAGACAGAGACAAGCAGGCTGCCGCAACTTTTTCTGGAAATCTTTCACCGCCTGTTGAAGCCGCAGCATTTTTCCTTCTTAAAAAAGGACATAATTGAACCAGAGAAATTAAATAAATTATTTTCTGGTTGTAAACAGTAAAAAGTTTGTTTTCCTGTGCTTTACCTGACATTCTGTGAAACACTACATACTTCAAATCGATCCGATTAAAGTGGCAGAAATCTTTCCTGAGCCTTCATTGTGTGATTTAGCTCTGAGCTAAAAGAATGCAGCTACATGCTAACAGCAAACCTGCAGCTGTTGTAATTAAASCAACTCATTAAACTTCCTGTTTGTGCTGAAACACATTTATTCATCATAAAACAGCCTCAATGAATTTTTTTAGGGCAGCAGATTATATTTTCCCCATAAAAGCTCCAGTTAACAACATTTTAAAAGAGCTTATAGTAAAGATAATAATAATGCAACGGACACAAAAAGATCTGATTTAAGATCACAGGAAGAGATTCTTGTAAGTGACAGAATCTATTAAATTGTTACCTCTAATGGTAKAAAACAAATCTGGATAAATTTACAAAAAAATCTGAATCGTTTCAGCATGATCAAAATTCACAGTCAACCAAAGATTATTAATATGAAGCTAAACTATCAGGAAGGCTTTCAAACCTTTAAAAGGGACAGTTCAGATTTTATTGTTTTTTAATGGGGTTCTGTGAAAAATCATCATCTTACCTGTCACGGATAGTTTTCCGAAGGACCTCAGTTTAACTAAGGGCTASTCTGAACAAAGCCAAGAACTATTTCAAACATTTTATAATGGTTCATGTATAAATTAGCATCAAAATCAGTTTGACCCATTTATAATAAATTCAATGGCGGCGGCAGCTAGCTGTAGCACATCCTAAAAATGTATTTTCTGCTGGAACATTTATGAAATGTAAAATGGARGAAAATGTTAAAAGTTTATGAAACAAAGTTCTTATAATCTGCTATGAAACTTTAAAATACAGAGTTGTTCAGACTAGGGTTGGGCTTAATCGTATCGTGTGCAATTCATCGTCAGAAAAATATTAATAATTATTTTTTTGGCACTTGACGATTAATACGATTAATACCACCAGACAGACTGACCGCTCGGTGTTCCTCTCCACTTCAAATATGACGAAAATTTAAAAAAAAAGTTCTGTAATTTATTTATCAACACATAAGTCTGTAAATTTGACACAACTTGGAACATATTTTTATGGAGAGCAAATCTTTCCCACTAAATCAGTCATGTGACCAGGACATAAGGGTGTGCAGGGACTCCAGGGGAT